TGAGGTGACCGGAAATACCATGGCTTGGGTTAGTTGCACCTTAGTTATCAAAGTAATATCCTTGCCTTTTTTTTTTTTTTTTAAACACTTTGAAGATTGCTTGTGGACAAAATCCTTGCTACCTCCAATCTTTTCTCAGTTTATCATGTTTGATCTCTTGACTATTGCTTCCATGCGCAATTATTGTGGATCCAAGCAAGATGAAACCCTTGATCATTTTCATCTCTTCTCAGTTTATCATGAGGTTGCCTACTGGTCCGGTTCAGGGCTGTGGTTTTCTGGACACTGAGCTGCAACCCAAACTGAAGGTGGGAACCCTTGCTCTTCCTCAGTAAGCGGTCAAGTTGTCCTCACTTCAGCCCGGGCGGTTGGGCCGTCTGCACATCAGACGCTGTTGATTCGCCACCTCCATCCTGAGGCCGAGGTTGTGGTCACACAATCCCGCTTCCTTGGTGATTTCACTTGGTCCATCCATAGGATGAGAACGGTGAGAGGATGCCCTCTAAACACGGATGCCCTCCTAAACACGCCCATGTTCTGATTTTAAAGCACACCGTAGTGCCTTGTTCTATTTGCACAACTACCTCTTGGGTCTACGTACAGGTTCAGCAGGAACACAATTAAACGTTCTAGAATTCCTTTTCTCAGGGAGATCCATAGTTAGTTAGATGCACATAAGTGAACACCTTTGCATGGCCAGTAAAATAAAACACAAGTACACATATTTCTGGTATTTTCTGCTTTCATGCAAGTTCTATTTTACGGCAGCAATGACATCCCTTGTTCAAAGTCCTTTTCGAAATCTGGCCCGATAACTGGCAGCTCCCTATCAACATGCCACTGGTAAATGTCACCTGCATGTGCCATCGCTGATGCTGTTCTCGAATTTGCACATTCTGTTGGGTCGTCTTTTTCTGTAGCAGGTACAGTCAGTTGGCCAGGCAGCTACCTTCCACATTATTTCGTCCTCACAAATAAGCTCTGTGATTCATCACCTTTGAGTCTGAATTTTAAACGGATTCTTGAGGGGGTGGCTGGCAGGCACCAGCTCATCCCTCTGTAGCACCCGTCTCATCGCCAGTCCTTTTTCCAGAACGACCACCCTCACCACGAAGCTCCGGGAGTTCTCCCAATTCACGGTTGGGCTTCTCTAGCATTTTCGCTTTTCTGATGAACACGTCACGGAGAGGATAAATCCATCGGCAGGCCCTTTCTAGGTCTTTTCCAATGCTGTCTGGAACCAATTTATTGACCCTTTTTGTCAAGTGATTTGTCAGCAGTGTCCCTGATTTCTTAGTATAGACGTGAGTGCTTCCAGGGCTTCATCAGCTTGTCGAAACATTTCACTTGGTGTTCCACCAATCCTGGAGCCTTGTTTTCGGCTAATGCTCTCACTGCAGCGTGAACTTGTTTTAGTACCATTGGTTCTTGCACCATATGCTACCTCTTGCAATGATTGAAGGTCAACGACCACAGTTCTTTTCGGCACAGTGATCCCATGTGTTCTCTCCATCTTCTTTTGATGCTTCCTGCTCATAGAATCTTTTGATATTGCTACTGGAGGCTTGAAGTTTTTCTTTAGCTCAAGATACGCTGAGCGTGTTCTTCTGTTTGGGTTTTCTAGCTTCAGGTCTTTTCACGTTTCATTCTGTTTTACTTGGTCTTCCCGAGCGCCTTCGAAATATTGTGTTCCGCTCTTTGACTTAATTTCTTCCATTGGCCTTAGCGACTACAATTAAGAGCAAGAGTCTCACCTGACAGCCACTTTGATCTTTTCTTTTCTTTCCATAAATGAACCCATTTGTGACAGGCCAGAGCGGTTCCATTCCTGCAGTGGGACAGCACAGGGGCACCGTGGGTCCAGGCCCCACCAGCTACTCTCCTCATGCAGGAACCGCGGGCCAGACGCCCACCGTGCGTCTCCTCATCTCAGTTCTGCTGCAGACGGAGCGAGTGTGCACGGCATGTTGGCTGATCTCAGGTTTCTTCACCATCTTCCTGAGGGAGGCGCTGTAACGGGTCCCGTATTTGCCCACGATCCCGACCTTCTTGGTGCGTTTGGCCATCGTGCCGCAAACTAGTCCCAAGCCAGAGAGGACGACTTTGACCTTTTAATGCCCTTTGCTTTCACCATCAATGACGGTCTTGACGTCATCCCTCAGCTCATCGGGTCTCCTGTCAGAAGTAGCCACTGTGCCACAGCTGTTCTTGAGATGTTAGCAAACTCCAGGTGGGAAAGCTTCCAGGCTGTATTACGGCTTTTGTGGACTGTTTTCATTGTCTTCAGTTTCAACTTGAACTCATTTATGAACAAGTTGAAGGTTGTTCCACGGTCAGCGGTGGTCTGGTTTCAGCTGCTGATACGGAGCTTCTCTATGGTCTCTTCCTACAGACGTTGTCAATTCACTCTCTGTGTTCCCTCCGGAGAAGTCCACGTGCGTGGTTCTGTGTTGTTGAAACAAGGGGACTTGCTATGAGCAAGTCATTGGTCTTGCAAAATTCTATCATGTGATCTCCAGCTTCCTACCTACTTTACATATATATGAAACGATATTGACTCAATTGACATCTTTGTTCCCTCTTTTAAGCTTTCTCTGCCATTTCTGAAGGATATCTGTGATACGTGGATGTGGGGTCTGTGTCTCCCCCTCTTTATCAGGCTGCTCCGGCTGCCAGCAGGCTTCGGGGAACTAAGGAAGCCTGGCCCGGAATGACACAAAAGGAAGGATGGCGTGAATGCCATTAACCCTTTTCCTACGCGTTTCCCACAAATCTTTCACCAATGTGATGCGGATGCTCTCTAATGCACCACCGCTCCGTGATTTTGGATTTTACGTATGTTTAAAATGGGAGGGGGTTGTAAGTCTCCACCCACCAAAGCCAGTGAGATATTTGGGTCTGCTGATGGAAGTGGAGGACGGGAGCCTGTGTGAGCAGATTGCACAGTTCAGGGAGCCCCTCCTGAGCGGTCATCGTACTTACACTCGAACAAAACCTCTTCTCCCTTGAAACAGCAGAGGACCCGACCACCATCCACAGGCCGGTGGGCAGACACAGACTGGAGCCACCACAACAATGTGGGACAACAACATGTGCCAGGCACTCATTTTCACCGCCAGACACAAAAACAGAAATAATATGCAATGTACTTAAAAAAAAATCATCTTACTGGGGGCTCTTATAGCTCTTATCACAGTCCATACACACAGCTGTTGTGTCACACACTTTTGCAAATATGTGGCCATCATCATTTTCAAAACACTTTCTTTCTACTTGAGCCCTTGGTATCAGCTATACTATGTATTTCTAATGAGGGCAATACTCTCCAGGTTGGTCCTGGGTTTGCTTTATCCAGCCGCGGAAGACTCTTGACCTTTATGACAAACCCCTGAGGCAGACAGAACAAGTGGCTTCCACTCACCCTTTGCAGCATGGACTCTGACCAGGCATAGCCATGGTGCTCGACAGCCCACCGCAGGATTGTTCCCATGATGCACAACATGACATCGGACTGCAAAATGTTCACCAGGCTTGCAAACAATGGGCAGAACGGAGGCAACACTGGAGGTGGAAGAGCTGCAAATAGAGCTGTTATTGGTTTCTTTGTAGATCACGCTGCCCAACGTTATCGTTCACCTTCCGAAGGTCAGTTGAACGCACAGACACGGCTACATGAGTAGCAGAAGTACAAAGGAAAGTCCCCTTCCCCTCGTCACACCTGATGACCTAAAATGAAACCATGAACTCAGAGGGGAATCAGACCAGTTCTGCATTGACACCTTTATCCTCTGACCGGGCAGAGAGCTTTGTTTAGACCTTTCGTTTCACCAAGGCCACGCACCGCCGACCAGTCAACAGAAGACAATGTTCTGTGACTTCAGTCTTACATATACTGATTGGCACCAAGGCTCTGCCGCTCTATCTTACTGTAGAATAAGCAAGCTAGAGATTTTGCAAAGAAATGAAAAATACCTGTATCTTCCCTATTTTGTCGTTTCAATTTCCGTTGAGCTTCCTCTGCCTAATAAAAAATATAAAGTAATTTGGATTAAGAATTACTACAAAACTTAACATTCCAAACTAGTGACACAAGCCAGTCTTTGCCACGTTACATTCTGATTTTAGAAAATGTTTATCCTTAATGTGTGGGCTCCTAAAACTTTACACACATCAAGGTTAATTATTCATTTTCCCCACTTAAAACAGCCAAAGGAGCCATTTGTTGTACTAAAGCACATGGAGACATGTATACATGCAAACAAATAATCTTATTTAAGCCTGAAATGTATTAGGACTAAGAATTTAAATAATACAGGACCAATAATGAGGGTAGTGATACCAGGAGGGTAAGGGGAAGGTGGGGGGAGAAAGGGGGAACTGATCACAATGATCTACATATAACTCCCTCCCAGGGGGATGAACAACAGAAAAGTGAGTGAAGGGAGACAGCAGTTGGTGTAAGACATGGAAAAAATTATCAAGGGTTTACTTTTATTTTTGGGAGAGCGGGAGGGAGGGAGTCCAGTTAACTATTTTCAAAAACCAATAAAGACATACAGTTATGCGTGTGGAGCTCAGGTGGAAAAACCTGGCAATCTGCTCCTATAAGGATGATATCCTATGAGAGGGTGGAGGGAAGGCAGGGTGGGATGGGGAACCAATCACAAGGATCTACATATAACCTCCTCCCTGGGGGACGAACATCGGAAAAGTGGGTGAAGGGAGACATCAGCCAGTGTAAGATACGACAAAATAATAGTAATTTATAAATTATCAAGCGTTCTTGAGGGATAGGTCAACAGGGAGGGAGGGGAAAAATGAGGAGCTGTTACCAAGGGCTCAAGTAGAAAGCAATCGTTTTGAGAGTGATGATGGCAACAAATGTACAAATGTGCTTGACACAATGGATGTATGTACAGATTGTGATAAGAGTTGTACAAGCCCCCAATAAAATGATTAAAAGGGAAAAAAATTATATCCTTAGAGCTGTGAAAAGCCCCCAATAAAATGATCTTTTTATAAAAATAAAAAAAAAGAGATCATACCCTTGGCAACTCTTATTGGGCTGTTCCACTCGGGTGGGGTGTCGGTATGACGGAGCCAACTGAACTGCACACATCAGTACATATGATGACACAGCTCTTAGACAAACCTAACCCAACCCACGGTCACGGAGCTGATTCCGCCTCACAGTGACCTGTGTCTGGTTTTGGAGGCAAGCGAAGAGAGTCATCTCTCTTCGGTGGAGCGGCTGGTGGGCTTGAAGCACCCACCTGGTGGCTAGTAGTCCAGAACCTAACTCACCATGCCACCAGGGCTCCTTGGATCCTGTCTATGGACACAGACCACTGTTAGGTGGCGCTATTACAGGCCACTTGGACTGTCTTTTTATCCTTGTTAGATTTTCTACAACAAAAACGATCTGTGGGAAATAGTCAAAGTTGTTTAGAGAAAGAAATAACGGCCCTTCCCCAGTATACTTTCAATTTCCCCAATTACCTTGGACTGCTCTGCTCTTGAGAAGTGATAGAAGTACAAGTTGAACTCTTTGGCACACTCTGGCTTCAGTTCATACATGCCTCGCCCTGTTAATCCAGGTTTCCTATGGGAGAAAGGCCCTCAAACGTTGTTACTGAAGTCACCCTCAAATTCACGAGACAGGACTACGAGGTGTCAGAACACGGGAACCCTAGAAAGCAGAGCTCTCACACACTGCTGGGAGTGTAAACTGGTGCCTTGTCTACGGATTAAAGTGGAATCTAAATCCAAAGCTTTATGTGCACCGTCTACTTTATTTATCTAGCAAGTCCACTTTGAATGGTCACTGTAGTCACAGTTTAAAAGTCTAATAATAGGAATAGGTCACATCAATTACATTTCATACAAATGAGCATGGTTCAAAGAAGGAACAGAGTATAAAATGACCAAGTTTGGTTAAGGTATATATATTATCTTCCTAGGTTGTTCCACATATACAGATAAAAGGTGACATGCTGAAAGACATGTAGCTAAATGTAATTAAAGTCAACCCGAAGCAGTTTGATACGAAAGCATGCACTAGTTTGAAAATCAACAAGAACAAATACATTGGGGTGGAGTGGGGTGCAAGAAAAAACAAGAAGTAGGATCCAACGACTGGGTCAACAACGTTAACTAGCCTACTGACTGGGCAGCAGTGGGCACTACAGTTCAGTGGCACGCACGGAGGGTGAGGTGTTCTGCCGCTCACTGGGCGGTCAGCGACTGAAACCCACCAGTCCCTCCCTGGGAGACAGATGAGGCTGTTTGATCCCATAAAGACTTACAGCCCTGGAAACCCGAGGCAGGGTGGTTCATTCAAATGGAAATAAGACTGGAAATGCATCTGAAATGCTATGAACCCTCTTTCTACCCCAGGGACAAGCCCCATCAGGCGACTGTCAATTACTGTTTGCAGGTCTAGACCACAGGAGTGAAATGTCCTTGAAAACCCCAGCGTCGGTGTGTATTTTAAAAGTACTCATCACCTTGACGCTCAGTTTGGCAGAGCAGACAACGCCAGGAAAGTGACTGTGTGAGAAGCATGCGACGTGAAGGCGCCAGGAGTCCCCTCACCTGAAGTGGGCCACGGAGTCAATCACACTCTCCATGCCGGTTTCTTTGTTCTCCTAAAGGGGGAGACACCGGGAAGCGGTCTTCATGAGAATCACGTGCTACCTCATCAACCCTCCTAGCAACCTCTGGCGTAGATCGCCTAGGAGCTGGACTTGCACAGAGAAGATTCCCTAGCAAACATAGTGGTCCGTATGGAATTAGGTAGAACCAGGAGAGCGGCTTTCAAAAGAATTAGAAATAGCATTTCCTAAACCATATTACGTTCGTGACAAAATGTTTCAGAAATTTTGTCTGAAATTCTTCTCTGAATAAAGTCCTTCCTGTTAAAAGATGTTTAGAAAATAGGGTTTAAGAAAAATTAAGTTACTATATACCTTCCTATAGCCCTTAGTTTGCTAATGCATCCATCTTCACTGATTTTGTTATCTTAACATTTTGCACTTAGGGCAAAAGTGAAAAACCTACCCTCTACTTTGCACACTGACCCGTCCTCCAGACAGTAACCAGGGCTGAGGGCCGAGGTCAGAGTAGCGCTGGCCGTGCTGGGGAGGTGCTGGTCAACTTTGGCTGACTGTGATTCCCAGGGGGTTGGCAGTGATGTGCTGATAACCTCATCCTCCCTTCTGTGAGCTGATGGGGTCATCCGCGATTTTCGCAATAACCTAACAACCTAATAACCATGTCAATAAAGGAGGAATGGGTGTATAAATCATGGTTCTCCAAACATACTGTAGAAGCAAATACTGGAATATATAGACCACCACCGAATGTCCCCTCGGGATACTGATTCTGTCTTGTGGCTTCTGCAGGGCACAGACCAGGGGACTATACTGCTGCCTTGTATAAAACATGACACATTCCCAATTCTGTTTCCAATTTTATTCTTTGGGCTGCTAACTGGGAGGTCGGTAGTTTAAACACGCCGCTCCGCAGAGAAAGCGGGGGTTGTCTGCTCCTGGGGGGAGTCCTGGAGGCTCCGAGAAGGGGGTTGGCCTGAGGAGCTGGAATCAGCTCCGTGGCAGTGGGCTTTATCCTAACGACAGCTGTGCTCTATCAAGTCAATTACGTTTGGGGCTGCAATCTGGGAGGATCAGTTCGAAACCAGCCGTCGCTCCAGGGACAAAGGTGAGGCCTTCTGCTCCTGTCAAGAGTTGGTCCTGGAAACCCACAAGGGCAGTTCTGCTTGGTCCAAGAGGGTCATCACGAGTCGTCAGCATCAACTCGATGGACGCCAGTGAGTTTGGTTTAATTGTACTGATGGATAAAATGACAAACTTGGCATTTTTCTACGAAGCAGTTCAGTGGGGGTAAGGAAACTAGACTCGGGGATATAACTGCACCAAGACTGGCCATCTGCTGAGGCTGGTGATGAGTTACACAGTTTGTAACACTTTATTTTCTATTTTTATAGGTGTTTAGGCATTTTATATAATACAAAGGTTGTTGGTTTTTTTAAAGCAGTATTATGCAATAAATATAAGATAGATGAGAATCCCAGAGGAAGAAATCCTGAGGTTGAAAGCTTTGATTTGTCTATCAAATTTGGGAATTATTTTGAAGAACCTTGTAAAGAGAATGTCCTTTCTTAACTCTGTGCAGTGGGTTTCTGCAGAGCCCCCTGGGCTGACAAGTGGATGGCAGAAGACGTGGAGCTCCCGAGCGAGCCGGGAGAAGAGTCGCAATCCCACTTACAAACACCTCACGCACATTCTTTCACTTTCGTGAAGATGATGCGGATGGCTAAGGATGCAACAGGCGGGAGGAGGAGGCACTAGAAACGAGGAGCAGGGTATCTCCCCCGCCCCAGCCCCCCAACACAGGAAGTCACACAGAGTGCGCGCTCCACTTGTGCCAACTTCACACTGACGGCCCTGAGCAAACCCCTCCCTCTCAGATACAGACACTCAGTTCTCAGAGCTGGGCTGGCTTCTCATCTCTCCCCAGCATCTCTTCCAAGGCTTCACGGCACACAGGTCTCTCTGTTTTGCTTTGGACACAGTAGACTGATAGGTATGAGAAGTTCTCCTTAACTTTTTCAAAAGGTCTGTACTTACATCTTCAGGCAAAGACTTGACCAGTTCACTATGAGCCATAGGTCTGATGCTCAACTGATGGATAATCTCCCGTTTGATTTCCTCTGTAGCACTGACCTGCCCAACTCCAAGGTTAAATCTTTCTCCTGTCAATAATGAGAAAGCACACATACTTACATTTAACACGATCATAATACTTGCGTGGTATGGCACTTATAATTCATGCAACACGATGTATTTCTCTACGTCTCTCTGCAATGGGAAAGGCTGGCTTGGCAGCCAGCGATGGCGAGTGCAGCTCTGACCATGGTTCTGAATCTCCGACCGGACAGCTCAGTGAAGCTTTCAGCAGTGCAGAGAGAATTCAGGCTGCTGCTCTAGGAACTGGCTCACAGGGATTAGTGGTCGTGGAGAACTGGTACAGCAGGTGCTGGGGAATTGGTTTCACTCCATCTGCCACATGGTAGAGGGAGAGCGACCCTTCCTTTCCCCTTCTACCTCGTGGCAAACAACATAAAAGTTTCCGGGACCTCAGACATTGGTATCAACTCCTGAGCGTAGTCAGGAGTCTCTGCTCTTTTGACTGCAGAGGGGCTGAAACAGGAAGGGAGGTGGGACAAAGTAAGAGATGAAAGATTGGGGAAAAACAGGGGAAGAAAGGGTGGAAACATACCTAAACCAAAGGGCAGGCTGTAATTATTAGCCATGCTGGGTGCTGGCAAGTCGACTCTGACTCACGGCAACCCTCTGTAGCAGAGCAGAGCTGCCCTGGGGGGTTCCTGGCTGTGCCTATGGTGGAAAGCAGATCTCTAGGTCTGCCCCTCGCAGCCTGCTGGGCAGGTCCCCGCTGCCGACCTTCCGGTTAGCAGCCACCTACTCAATCACACCAACAGGGCTCCACTGGCGTCCGTCCACCAGGAAGTGCTATCCCTAATGTCATCAATAAGGAGCCCTGGTCGTACGGTGGTCAGAGTGCTTGCCTGCGAACTGCCAAGTTGGCAGTTTAAATCCACCAGCCACCCCACAGGAGAAAGGTGCAGCCTCTTCCCTAGTGAGAAGCCTTGGAAACCCTGTGGGGCCAAAGTCCTCGGGGTTGCAGGGAGTTGGAATTGAGGACAGTGGGTTTGTTTTTTGTTTTTTTTGATTTTTACGTTCTTTTTTGGTTCCCAAACCCGGGGGTTCCACCTTGGTTCCAAGTTACCATTGAAAGTTTTTTAGGCTTTTTGTTCCTTGCTGGATACATTTTTGTCCCTAGTGTTTCCCCCAAACTTACAATGTTCCAGTTCACCTTGCTCCAGCGGTTAGACTTCCCTTTCTCTAAAGTGCCAAGGCACAATTAGTCTCAACATTCCGGTAACTAGAGAAAGAAGACTATGCGAAAACCTACCCGAGTATCAGCCCTACACAAAAGAAAGTTTGGAAATTCTGGAGAATTTGCTGCTACCAAATCCATCATTTACAAAGATCTCAAACAGTCCAGACTTACCAACAAGCATTATGATGAGGTATAGCATCTCTTCAATTAGAGTGTTGTTCTGATGGACCACATCCTGTAACCAGCGGGGGAAGACACGTTCAGAGGTAAGACTATGCACACGCACCTCAGAGTTAACGAACAAACACAAGGCGCGTCTTCAGGGTCTTGTCAGACAAATGCTTACCTTATGTGCAGTCTCAGAACTAAATCTTTTCCCGTACTCTGGAGTGCTGAAAATCTGGTACAGTTCAAAGCGGCTGAGCATGATCATCAGGAAATGATTTGGATCCATCATGGAGACACCTGTCTTTTTTGTTTTGGTTTTGGGTTTAATATTTGAAATAAAGGAAAGGAGGAAGGTCACAGGGTTATTGACATCCTGCCTTTGCCTCTTTATTCGCCAATCCCATTCAGAGGCTGAACCACATTAGTTCCAACCCCCACGGTTCTAGCTGACACATGTGGGCAAGAAGCGAAGTCAGTCAAACCCCACCAAACTCCACAGAGCAGGTTAACATGGACTACGGATTACCGTTTCTTCTAATGGGTTAGAAGAATTTCACCGGTATGGATTCAGATCTCAAGTTTGATTCCAGGAATCTGGTATACAGACCCTGGGAGAAAGAGGGCACTGTCACGTAACCTTCTGGCATTCTTTTATATCTATCACATGGAACTCTTTGCAAGAACCATCTAATGATGCTTAAGATACTATTTTGGGGCTTGGGGTGAAAGGTGACAAAGCAAATTAGTTTCCCATTTGGCAATTTCTACATAATAGTTCAGTGGCCTGAGTCACACTTTCCATACTGTGTGCATATTCTGTTTGGCAATTCTGATTCCGATACTCTCGCCTCCCTGCCTGCTGGGAGCTCATCGTTACCTAAGAGTTAATGGTTGACATTTCGATCTCACACACATGGCTTGTTCATGGAATGTGCACTCACAAATGAAGAACTCCTTTCGCCTGCCAATCTGTAAGTTTGCTCAGAGCTCACCCTGGGGAGTATTTTTTGGTTCCAGACTAGAGTGTCTCAGGATGACAGTCTCAGGAGCGCCCAATCCTGAACTGATCGACTAAGTCTGGGCTTGAAAGAACCTGAGTTCTGGTCTGTGGTTTCCTGCTGTTCTATCAGGGTCCGTCTGTCCGTCCGTCATGGCCCTGATCAGCTGGGCACCACCGAGGTCTTCTGGCCTCAGGTGGGTAAGTCTGTGGCTTGGGTCACTCTATTTTCCTGTCCTGGCCACTTTAGTGATTAGTTTTAAATGTCCCTTAATGTTCCTTGAATTCCATTTGTATGAATTCTAAATTAACTTAGCTTTTTAATCTTGAACCTATAATTTTCTTTGAAATTTATACTTTGTGAGTTTTTGTTTCTATAATTATGAAATCCATTAATCAATAATAAGAAACTATTACATAATAAGCCTTGTGCTAGCCTAATGCCGTGACCCTTTCATACAGTTTCTCATGTGGTGGTGACCCCCCAACCATAAAATTATTTCCGTTGCTACTTCATCACTGTCATTTTGCTGCTGTTATGAATCGGGCGACGCCTGTGAAAGGGTTGTTTGACCCTCAAAGGGGTTGCGACCCACAGGTTGAGAACCGCTGTGCTAGGCACAAAGGATCCCACCCCCCAAAAATAAATCCACACATATACACAAACCGTGAACAAGATGTAGTTGCCAGGGTTTAGTGGGGCACACAGTAGTAATAAATACTATGGTAAGGATACAACACCAGGGGAGTCTTCAGGAAAGGGATTCTTTGGTGAGGTCAGGGAAGACTTAGAGGAAGATTTGTAAGAGAAGAAGTGACCGAGGTGAGGTCAAGGAAAGGGAGGTTCTGTGGAAATAACAAGGAGTGAAAGCCATTCCCTCACACCCACGAGCTTTAAGTCTACCACTTTTACTTAATTACCTGAAGCATGATCACATCCTTGTCAAACATCTCTCGTCTGCATTTCACATTATGGTAGTAATAAATCTACAAACAAAACCAAAAATGTATTTGGGTAAATAGGTTTTAATTGCCCGATTCTCCCCACACCCCCCAAAGCACATGGGTTTGTCAAGTGCTAGAGCTCACGCATGGACACGCACACACACAACACGAGGTTCCCTAACAGTGCACACGGGGAAGGCAAAAACAAGGAACAGAACATCACCAGCACGGCAATTCTGCTCAGAGCGGCGCTACAGGACACAGAACTGCTCCCTTGGTTCTGAGGCTGGAGGCTCTACGGGAGGGGACCGCCTCATCTACTTCCCAGGGAGCAGCCGAGGGAGGTGACCTGCTGACTTTGTGGTGGACAGCCCAATAGGTACCCCACGCCGCCGCCACCAGGGCTCCTTGAACAGTCTTAGAAGAGATGGATAACTGGAAACTTCCAGATTGCAGTGCTCACTCTATGGATCACACTTGAAAGCCAACTTTCTGAGTCTCCCACACAGTGAGAAGTCCCTTCCAGTAAAGTTTATATAACCACCACCACCCGCAAAAACAGTAAAGCCCAGCCTAGTGCAGGTATAAAAATTAAACCTCAATTCAGAGCTATACCAACAGAATTGTAAACTTTGAACCCGCTTTAGTTTAAATCAGCGGTTCTCAACCTTCCTCATGCCACGACCCTTTCACACAGTTCCTCATGTGGTGGTGACCCCAACCATAGCATTATTTTCCTTGCTACTGTCATTTGCTACTGCTACGAATTGTCATGTAAATAGCTGACACGCAGGATGCATTTTCATTGTTACAAATTGAACGTAATTAAAGCATAGTGATTAATCACAAAACAATGTCATTATGTGTTGTAAAATATATTTTTGTGTGTGAAATATTTATTTCTAATGACAAATCAATGAAATGTCTTGAAGCGTGGTGTAGCATGGGTAACAGTCTTCACTCTGGGTACTCGTCTGTGGGCCTCTCTGCATGTGGGTGGACCCGCCTGGAGACGGATAGAGGAGTGGTGTCTCGGTTCCTAAGGCCACAGGACACGTGTTTTCCATGGTCTCAGGTAACCCCTGTGAAAGGATCGTTCGAGCCACAAAGGGGGTCATGACCCACAGGTTGAGAACCATTGGTTTAAATCGATAAAACCTTACGCTTTACCATTATGGTTTTTTTAAACAGCTAACTTGGTTTTGAAAAATAATTTCAAGTGAAAACTAAAACCACAGCCATTCATTTTTACATTTAATGTTCCTTCTTGGCACACTATAAATAAAAGTTCAAGACTTTGGTTTTTCATTAGATTTATCTTTTAAAACAACTGGAATATAGTAAACTTTCAATGACTAAGTACACTGAAAATAAAAGATGGCCAAAAAGAGCAATGAAAAATCTCCAGTGAAAAGCCACCTACCTGGTTTACCAGCGAGAAGCCATTTCTCCTCCACATCCCAGCGTGCACTTGGGCACATAAAACGAAACACCGAAGAGGATGTTCTATCAACATAGGTGGGCTCAGTTCGCTCTGTACATATATTAAAAAACAAAACAAAAATACAAGTATCTCAACTGCGGTGCGGGCTTTACAGAGTACCTTTTTGTCATTGTTTCAAAGTGACTTAAAATGCACATAATCGGCACACAGGCACACAACACAATATGCTTACAGTTCTGTATCACTTACTAGAGGTAGCAGCTCTGGACACTTATATGCCACTTCGCTTTTACTCAGTAACACATGCAAGCCTGCACGGAGGAAGAACAAGAGTATCCTGTAAGTGACAATCAGGTGGAGAAGATGATCTAAACAGCCACTCACCTTGACACCGAACCTCATCCCCACTTCTGTGGGAACCTGTCAGATTCTCACGTAGGGTGGAAAGTTGGACACTTTCCATCAATGAGGCTTTGCAGTGGACACTCTGACGGGCCTCTCCCTCCAAGGCACACTTCTCAGCCTTCATCAGTGAGGGTGGTTTTTGTGTGAAATCATTTTATTGGGGGCTCATACAGCTCTTATCATGATCCATCCATCGTGTCAAGCACATTTGTATATTTGTTGCCATCACCATTTTCAAAACATTTTCTTTCTACTTGAGTCCTTGGTATCAGCTCATTTTTCCCTCCCTCCCTCACCGTCCCTCCCTCATGAACCCTTGACAATTTATAAACTATTATTTTTTCATGTCGTACACTGTCTGATGTCTCCTTTCATCCACTTTTCTGTAGATCATTGTGATCTGTTGCCCCTTTCTGGTATGACTACTTTCATTATTGGTCCTGAGGGGTTTATCTGTCCTGGAGTCCCTGTGTTTTCAGCTCTTATCTATACCTGTGTACATGCTCTGGTCTAGCAAGATTTGTAAGGTCGAACTGGGATCATGATAGTGGGGGTGGGGGTGGGGGAAACATAAAGAACTAGAGGAAAGTTGTATGTTTCATCAGTGTTACACTGCACCCTGACTGGCTCATCTCTTCCCTGCGACCCCTCAAGGAGGTGTCCAGTTGCCTACAGATGGGCTTTGGGTCTCCACTCCGCACTCCCCCTCATTCACAATGATGTGGTTTTTGTTCTTTGATGCCTGATTCCTGATCCCTTCGACACCTCGTGATCACACAGGCTGGTGTGCTTCTTCCATGTGGTCAGTTAGATGGCATCTTACTCATTTTTAAGCCCTTTAGGACCACAGACACTGTATCTTTTGATAGCCGGGCACCATCAGCTTTCTTCACCACATTTGCTTATGCACCCACTTTGTCTTCAGTGATTGTGTCGGGAAGATGATGCTCACAGAATGCCGGATTAACAGAACAAAGTGTTCTCGCATTGAGGGAGTACTTGAGTGGAGGCCCAATGTCCGTCTGCTACCTTAATACTAACCCTATAACTATATGCACATAGATCTATTTCCCCATCCCCATATATATTATTTACATATGTACATACCTGTGTTTAGACCTTAACACCAGATATGAAATACAGCTACAGCAGCTGTAAAACTCAATAGAGCACTTTATACGTTATGCTGAGTTGGTCAGACTTCACTGGGTCATGGAGCTTGTTCCCACTTGAAAGACACTACTGAGCTATCTTTCTGCAATGGAACAAGACTGGCCCTAATGTTCCTGGGCAGCAGTGACCCTGACCTTACAGTGAAGTCTCTCAGAACTTCCCGTTCAGGATCGGAGCCTTTGTGGTTCCCAGAGCTCAACCGCAATCCACTCAGGTTCTATTGTACCTGTGTTGCTCCCAAACAGAGAAGGCACTTTACAATCTTGCCAATCTGTGTTGGTCTAAGAAGACTTGTATGCCTAGCCCCACCCGGGTTCTCACTATCCACTACTCAACGCCACTCGCACACAGACCCAGCTCGCTGCTCTTGAACTGCTCAGTTACTTTCTGTTCCATTTAGAATATAGGCATTTGGACCAAGGTTTATTAAAAACAAACAAACAAACAAACAAACAAACAAACAAACAAACCAAAAAGCCTCACTGCCATTGAGTCAACGCTGACTCAGAGTGCACTGCCCACTGTGAGTTTCCGAGACTATGACTGTTTGTGGGAGTAGGCAGCCCCAGTCTTTTTGACGAGGAGCTGCTGGTGGTCTTGAACTGCTGACCACAGGGACTGCAGCCTAATGCATAACCACTTCACCACCAGGGCTTCTTGGTTTAAGGTTTATTGACTCACAGTAACTTTATAGGGACAGAGTAGAACTATCTTCGAGGGCCATATATCGCCCTCCCACCCCCCCATCCAGCATCTCGTCTAGTCAGCATTTCTATTTCCACTCATCTCCTTAGCAACACTGACTTTTAAAATTACCTCTTGGATTTTGCCCTTCCCAGAATGCCATATAATTGTGAGCTTACAATATGTATTTTCAGACTGGTTTCTTTTGCTTTGTATTATACATTTAAGCTTTATTTATCCAGGTGCTTTTGTGATTTGATGACTAATTTACTTTTTAGTTATTTAATAATATTTAATTGTATTAGTATTTAAAAATGCCTCTTGTTTTGTTTGTAATCCATTCTGGTTTTTTGTTTTCCCAAACCATTTTATTAGGAGCTAATCCAGACATAACATTTCCATAGTTCAATTCCATCAAGCAGTTGTATAATTGTCACAATCAGTTTAAGGCCATAAATCTTTATAGATACACATTGTCATATCTTTGTCCGGTGGGCTGGGTGGTAGGTTTAAACCACTGATTTTCTGGACTGAGGTAGAGAAGGAACTAGTTAGAAATCAGTACATTTTCAGAGAATTGAGTTTTACTGATGGACAACTATCGGCACAAGATTCCATCTACACACACACACACACACACACACACACACACACACATTTTCAAAAGCAAGAGGGGTTAGTGGCCAACTTGGAGATGAGCTCCCCTCTCCTGCCTTCTAACCCAGATGAGCTCCCCTCTCCTGCCTTCTAACCCAGAACTTCTCCACAGAACCACGAGGACACTTACTTCTGTTCAGTGACCTCAAAGCACTGAAACACCCCCACAGCCCCAAACTGGGTCTAAATAAGCTACAGAAGAGAGAAGATAAAAAAGAAGTTATAAGATCGATATTTTTTTAAAGGTTTATAATGTCAGTCGAGGCAATTATTTGTTGTACTATTTCTATGTCTAGGCACAAGGTAGGTCCCAGAAGAGGGATCACAAATCTGGGGGTTTTCAACAGCACCCCCAAAGATTGCTGCAACGCGAGCCTGTATAAGCAGGGTAATGTGACAATGTTCAGAATTTTTAAAAGTCTTCAGAAATGCAAGCAGGATCATTACTGATCGTGTATATTTTAAAAGAGCAATAAAGGAATACAGTGAACAAAATCTGACCACGTACATGAAATGGACTTAATTCCTTGGGATAAATCAACTACCAAAGCTCACACAAGGAGAATGGATCACCTGAATAGGTCTGAATCTGTAAAAGAAATCGAATCAACAACCTTCCCACAAATCTGAGCCCATTCGACCCAGATGACTTCCCTGGTGAATTCCACCAAATATTTCAGGGAGAAAGGATACCGATTCTCCGTTATTCTCTCATCATCCACAAAAATGTCATCACAACACAAGTTAAGATATACTTTAAGTACTGAGGTAATGAAAACATCCATCTTTGGAAGTTCTCTTCTGTCCCCAAAATTAAAAGTGGATCAACAGAGGGACGCGTGGGAGGTGAGCTGGTTACGACGACCGGCCTAGGCTCAAGCAGTGTGATGGTGTGACGAGAGCGGCTCAGTTGTGGCAGAGAAGCCCTTACCGAAAACCTTTAGCCGCCGCCACACGTGAGTGCAATTAGTTTGGTAGTTTCAAACGCTCCACAAACCAATGATACGCGACTTGACTTGGACATCGACTACTTGATTTCAAAGCTATCGCCCGCGGTGGGGCTTGCGTGGGTCTGCTACTTCTCATTGCCACGGAGCTGACTCGGACCCCCGTGGGCCCAACCGCAGAGGCCGTAAACCGTTGGCTGGTGGGTTTGAACCACTGACAAACTTGAGGCTTCCCAACTGTAAAGTGAACTTAATAAAAGGCCAGTGTGATGATTCAAGGCAATATATGTAGAACTCTTCTCTCTCAAGAAAAAAAAAAAAAAGCCCACCACATAGTAGGTGCTCAACACACGGTAATAGCCAACAACCATTTAAAAGGTAGTTTTAGGGGTTTAATTTTGGGAAATGCTTTACCTGCAAGTAAGCGGGATACTGGGAGGTGAATGCTGACTTTCTCCTGGGAAACACAGTATCGGATCGTTTCCACGGAGTGCCCGCCGATGCTCAGCGTGATGGGCTGCTCGCCGTCAGTGAAGCCGCTGTGGCACTGCACCAGCACGGCCAGGCACTTCCTATATGCTTCAATGAGGACCCTTTCCTGCAACAAGACAGCTTCTGTCGGTCCCTCCCAGGTTGGGTTTCTCCAACACGAGCACACGCTTCACTGTGAGCCAGTCGACAGGAGCTTGCTTGAGCTCTCAACGACACACCATTCTAAATGAAATCTTCCCTGGATACCTTGCTGTCAAATCTCAGTACGGGCAAAGCAAACGTCAGCTTCCTCCCAAAGTGCCTTTCTTCCGGCAGCCCCCACCTCAGGGAAGGCCACCTCCAACCATTCTGCTGAGGAGCTGAGGAACGCGGGCCCCAGGGCTTTGTCGCCCTCATTCCCAGAAGCCCACAATCTCTTAGTAAATTGGCCATTGCATTTTCTAAGCTTCTCTCAAAACCCGACCACTTTCCCTTGGCTCTCCTACCGCTGAGACACTCTCAGCCGTCTGGGAGACAATGCCCAAGGCCTACTGTTTCTGGTCTTCTCATCCACTTGCTAGACCAAGTTACTTAAACCAACCACATGTGATAAGGCTCCGGGTGCTTCCCTGCTTGTAGCCTTTAATGCATAGGAAGTTCCAAAAGTACTTGGCCTACCAAGCCCCTTCTCAGGAGAAAAAAGTCGCTCCGTGCCTCTCTGGCAATAAAAAGCTTTTGTATGAGAGGCCACGATCCAGGATAAAGTATATGACCGCTGCTTTTATGGTGGTGGGGCAGAGGGGTTTGCATGGGGTGGGTAGAGGGTGGTATTACTGTTTTAATGGTTTCTCATTTTAATTAGCTTAAGATCCAAATTCCTTTCTTTGGCCTTTGAGTCCTGTAAAGAAATGCCCCTGCCTACTTCTCCACTTTATTTTTTTAAACACATCATTTTATTGGGGGCTCTTACAGCTCTTATCACAATCCACCCATCCATCCTGTCAAGCACATCTGTACATATGTTGTCATCATCATTTTCAAAACATTTTCTTTCTACTTGAGCCCTTGGTATCAGCTCATTCCCCCAAACCCCTCCCTCCCTCCCTCATAAACCCTTGATAATTTATAAATTATTGTCTTTTTCATGTCTTACACCAACCATTGTCTCCCTTCACCCACTTTTCGGTTGTTTGGCTTCCTGGGAGGGGGGTTTTAGGTCGATCACTGTGATCAGTTCCCCCTTTCTCCTTGCACCTTCTCTTACTTCTCCGCTTTCATTCTTCAAAGTCCCAGCAGAGCCTCTTCGTTGCTCCGTTGGGGCACCCCTGAATCAGTATTGCTGACCACAAAGAACTTGCAACATTTCATGACTGAGAAAGTTCACTGTGAATCTTGTTTTGAGCCTTTCCAACCAGGAAATACCCCGAGTCCCAATGTCCGGGCCTCTTGTCTACCATTCCTGCACGGTCAGTTAAATCATGGCCCCCCAAGCCAGCTGGCATGAAACCCCCAACTGAATGTACCCGGGTCTGGCCAGCGCCTTCTCACCAGCACAAATTCTCTCACAACTGTTCTAGGGTTACTGCTTGGGAGTCAAGGACAAAGGTCACCTTATTTAGGATAAAACTAGGTCCTTTCGCCCATAGCTCCTATGTCATGAGCCTCCTTTCCCTCCACACCCTGCATCCCTGGCTCTCTACCTCTGGTCACATGAACTCACAATGAGTTCAGGTCTTCACTCACGGGGGCGGGGGTGGGTGGGGGTGGGAGGGCTGCTCTAGATATAACTGAAAATAAATGGGAGGAGCACACATGGAGGGCCTGAGACTTGGGGTCTTGGCTCCCACTAGAGCCTTTTCACAGTTCTAAAGGCTCCGCACCTTTTCAGCACAGACCATGATGCATGTGCACCTGAGTAAGGAATACTCCTTACTATGATCATTTAATTCTTAAAACATCGTTCAGATCTCACGGATACCGTACTTGATCTCTTAGCCTTTTTGGCCAAAGGAAGCCAGGGATAGACAGTGAAATTATTTTTGTAAATGGTCTTTGTATGCATTTACATTCAGGAAAAGCGATGGTAGATTATTTCCTCCATCTGTTTTCTAAGGCTTTAGAATTCTGACTTTTTAAACTTCACAGAATTTATAGGTGGGAGGTCAAATATGTTGTTTGTTAGCTAAGTGATCACCACTATTTTCTCCCAAACTTAAATTGTATGTGTTTAGAAATCTGGCCCCTACTCCACCCCACTCTCAGAAAACAACTGTTACCACTGAGTCAATTCTGACCCACAGTGAGAACAGGCGAGGGAGACTTCACAGTTTGCACCACCCAGAGACCCCTCACTACAAAAACTCACGTCTAAAGCACACCAGTCCTGCATCATGGAAATGACATGTGTTAATTTCATCTGGAGTGTGAAGGCTGCTTCCCACTCAGGTTCCATTTCAATATGTTGTCCTACTTGACGAGTAATTGGATCCATTCCCTGAAAGGAAGTGACAAAGATGGAATGTGAAGTTATATAGCATGCTATGGTAATCATGAATGAAAATTAAAAACAAACAATAAAATGTGGCATCTGAAAAAAACACTATTAAATATTAAAAAAAAACACGTGTCTTCTTCAATTAGACGCTTATAGAACATTTTCTAAAACGCGAATAAAAAAATCAAATGAGGTATGGAATAGATCACTTTAGAGGTGATCTTCTAGATCTCATACAATAAACTTCATGCTAATAATCCTTCAACTTTTTTTGTTTTATATGTTGTAAAAGAAATGCGATAGGCTTTTAAAACTAAAATTTAATGATTTTATATAAAAAACAAACAAACAACTCACTGGCATCAAATAGATCCCAACTCACAGTGAGCCTATAGGGCGGCGCAGAACTGCCTCCGTGGGTTTCCGAGACTGCAAGGCTACACAGCAGTGGAGTGCCTCCTCTCTGTTTCTTAGAGTGGTTGGTGGCTTCGAACTGCAGACCATTTGGATCGCAGCCCAAAGCACAGTCTACTCTGCTACCAAACCAAACCAACCAAACTCACTGTAATAGAGTCAATGCTGACTCCTAGTGACCTGACCCTGCTGTCTGGGTTTCAAGACTATTCATGGGAGTCGAGAACCCAGTCTTTCTCCCATGGGAACTGCTGGCGGTTTCGAACTGCCGACCAAGTGGATCGCAGCCCAATGCATACACAGTACACCACCAGGGCTTTTTAAATATATTATCATATTAGAAAGATATTTTTATACTTACTCCCTAATTTTGAACAAAAAATTTTTAGTCTGTGTTCTACAAGAAAGTGAAATAAAATAACAACAAAGAAGTTTTAATACAAAAGAACAGACAGAAATGAATTTAAACACTCATGACTCATTACCTAATCAAGAAACTAGAATATTAAAAATAAAGATCAACTTTATTTATTCTTTTTCTTAAGAAAGTCAAGAGACTGCCAAAGAATCCTAATGGTACGGGCTTCGTTAAAAGAGTTTTCAGTGATATCACCTCTAACTTGAGCAGTTAAAACAGGTCAAATATGTACCAGTTCATCTGGTTTGTAGACTGTTTTCTGTGGAGACGTCTTTTAAAAAGAGAGAATTAAACAGAGGCGGAAAAGTTCTAGGCTGTATTAGATAAATATTACACCAGAGAGAAAAAACACGAAACCCTAAAAAACAAGACGAAAAAGAGTGATCACAATGGGGTCTCAAGTCACTAAACCAGACTGTACTTCTGCCTGAAGACAGGAAAAACCCAAACCCCCCCAGAACCTCGGCAATCGCCAGAGGAAGGACGCTGACCGGGACCACAGAACCAGCAAATACAAAAGACCAGTAGGCGCCGGAACCTGTGCTGGGATCGCGCTCTCGCGCTACGACTTTCTAAGAGTCTCCAACTAAAGAGGCGCTTCTTGTCCAGAGCAGAGCCGTCCACATCGCTCTTTCGGAAATGTGCCCCAAGGCAGAGACGGAACGGTGTTCAGTTCCATGAATTTTTTTTTTTAATGAAAAACGGAAGACCAGAGTTTCTCTTACACACCTGCATACATCTCAGTAATTCCAAAAAGACATCAAAGCCTTCCAGGAACTTCTGTCTGAGCTCATCCGACCATTCGGTTGGCTTGCTAATTAGCACATACCTGAGCAAGAGGAGAAGAAGAAGGAGTTTATCAACACTGACCCTCTGTCAAGTGCAGCGGCTTTTATCCATGAACCAAATGAGCTTACTTGAGATCCAAAATGAGGCTCTGGACTCTCCTAAACTTGAACGCCTGCAGAGCAGTGTACCGCTCAAACTGAAACCTGCCTTGGGCATCGCGGGGCCTCAAGTGACCCATGAAGGTGGTGATGATGACGGCCAGTAGGTTTTCTTCCGTGATGAGCATTCGCGCCTAGAATGAAGACAGGAGAGTCTAGGGCGACAAGAAACAACGCACTAGAGAGCTAAAAGGATGTCACAACATCGCTTCGTTCTGTTTGTCAGCCAACTACCGCACCTCTCAAGTGTATTATCACCAAGTGTCTACATTCCAATTATGTCCTCCAAAGGCCACCAGCATGAAGCAACAATCAGATCATGGAGAAAAAAATGCCAGAAGGTTATTCAAAGACAATTCAGGGGGGGGGTCTGAAACAGGTGGCAACTTTTCCTTCACTGGGCCATTCAGACATCTGTAAGGATGTGGTCTAATTATTCTAGGATCCAGAAGCTTTTATCACAGATTCTCTAGAATGCAGCATAAAACTCACATTTTCCCTTCATCTTCTTAGTTGAAGTTTATTTTTTAAATTTTCATTTCTATGTGTAGACATATACATTTAACTATTTTCAAATACACTTAATTGGTGCAAAAATACAAAGTCTTCCAGCTCTGGAAGTCCTTCTACCAGAGGCAGCCCCATTAACAGCTTCTTGCATGTTCTCCCAGATGGTGTGTGTGTGTGTGTGTGTGCACACATACAGACTTTCTCTCCTTTATTTGGCATTTCACATTTGTGACCATAGTAAGCAAACATTGTACTCTCTTTGCAGGCTGACTTTCACCTGATACTTGGTCTCTGGAACCAACCATGGCAATTAGGGAGGAGTGAGTGTTATCTATTATATATACACAAAAGCATTTACATACATGTATATATAAGACTCTCTTCATAAAGAGATACGTGTATGGTCTAAGTATTATCTACCTTTTCCCTTTGAAAGGACAGCATATCATACTGCTTTGCACTTTGTGCTTTTTACTAGATATGCTTGAGAGGTATTAGTTCATATAAATCTCTCTCATTCTTTTCACTGCCATACTGGTAAGACATTTGGGTTGTTTCCAATTAGTACTACAAAGAAGCTGCAGCACTGACACTACATGTACAGACTGATTTCCTACAAGTAAAATTATGGGTTAAGAAGTATGCACATTTAACACTTTGATGGATACAACTATACTGTCTCTGCAAAGAGGCTTATTAATTTACACCCCCATTGACAGCGGGGGACCTGCCCACTGCCACCTTCAGCCCTGTCTTTAATGTCTTCATGGATGCTCTTCCCCTTCCCAACTCTAGCAACACCGGCTTCCTTCTTCCAAAGGGCCACGTGCAAAATCATGTCCTGCACCAGCGGCAGCTTCTGCCCGTCAGTCAGCACAGCACCCACCCTCCCACTCCTGCAGGGCGCTCTGCTCAACCACCGCCTTCCCCGACCACTCCCTGCTCTTTTACACTCCATAACACTCCTCAACACCTGGCTTACAATGAATAGTATGCGCTTGTTTATGTATATAAGTTCCAGGGGCTAGTCTACATTTTGTTTACATTTACTGTTGCATCTCATTCCCAGTGCGTCCAAACGGTGGGTGGCTAGTAAGCCATTCAATAAAATATTTGGAATAAATGAAGGAAATGGTACTGCCTGAAAAGCACTGCAACTTTTTAGGCAGTACCATTAGAAACAACTAGAAACAAAATATTAGGGAAAAAAGACATAAAAAATGATTACTTGCAGACAACTTGAAATTCTAAGTTAATCACCATAAAACGTTAAAACCAGAAAAGTAGTAAAGAAAACCAGCTAGATGTAAGACAGACATGTAGTTCTCCACATCCTGGCCAGCCGACAGCCGTGGTGCTGATTCGAATGCACAGTGGCCCCATGGGACAGGAGGACAGGCTAGACCTGCTCTGCCTTGGGGTTTCTCAGGCTGTAACTCTTTACGGGGGCTGGCGGCTTCAGCTTTCTTCCAAGGAGCGGCCGGCCGGCCGGTTTGAAGCACTGACCCTTGAGGTTCGCTGCCCAAATGCTTAACCCACTGTGCTGCCAGGACTTCTTCACAGTAGCCACAGCCAGTTTAAAAAAGTACACATTTTACAAGAGCATAAAAAATTCATAAACTTAACTTTTAAATTGTATTAGACATTAAGATAACAAAAAATATATAAAATAACACTTGAATTATTGAGGACAAATGAATGTTCTTAGGTCAGAATATTCCAGATTGCAAAGACATTAGTTCTTTTCAAAGTACTGCAATCTATAAATACAATGCCTTTTACCGTCAAAATCCAAATATGGCCTTTTTTTACAAACTAATTTTAGTTCACCTGAAAGAAAAATGTCTAATGATAAGGAAGAAAAAAACGAGAAAGAATCAGGAGAGGAGACTGGGCTCTGTTAAGGCGGTAATTAAATATTAAGGTACGGTTACTAAAAGTGTGGTACTGCCATGGTAACAGACAAGATGAATGGATTTAAATCCATCTTCCAGGCTTGTCGAACTCAGCCCTACAAGCTGCAAGCATCAGTCTCTCCATAAGCCCTCTCCCACGTCAGCGCCCCTTGCGCTCCTTCCAGCAGGCATGGCGGCTTTCACCCCACTGCAAATAAGAAACCCAGAAGCAGTCTGACACTTCTCCCTTCTCATGCTTTAAACAGACCCCTTCTTCTGATTTGTAATAAGATATTATTTGGGGGCAAGTGGACTTAAGGCAGCTCAGACTGTGCTAAATCATAAAAGTAAGTAAGTTCATAGCTCGCCAGTCGTGCTGTAATTCAGCTGGCTTAGCTATATCTCCCCCCGCCTCCCCCCGGGGACTTTCTCAAAAAGTAGGATGGCACACATTACATTGTCCGATTCCCACAGCCTGGACCACATGGGTTCTAACAATCACCTCAAGATCAACACAGACTCATCGGTTCAAAACTCAAGGCAGGACTACAAGAATGTAGGGAGGAAAGGTTTTTTAATAGTCGTCTTAATAACCCAGCTGTTCACAGTGGTTTTCTTTTTAAATGACTCCCTCCTCTGACCCCAATTATTCAGCTATTCACAGATTTGTTTGGGGATGGTTCAGGGTATCTGGCTTCTGCTTGCTCATTAGGCAAAATATTCTATCCAGAAACGCACAGATCTGAGAGCTCTAGTGTTTCTAAGGCTTTACTTCCGTAAACACAAAACAAAGTTTTTCTCTTCGGCATTCAGTACTTACAAGAGAAGGAACTGTGAATATCTGTACCGAGAGGTCTGCGATTGAAAACTCTCTGTCGTGGTCATCTGTCACATAATCACTCTGCAAACGCTCATAGTTCTATTAAGAAGGCAAAAAAAGGCAAGGCGTGCCAGCTGAGTCACAGAGAGGGGCAGCGCTACTCACCAGCGTGGGCACGGTGAAGAACTGGACAGACAGAGCGGTCACCGACACCGCTCGCTCGTGGTCATCTTCCATAAACCCTCTCTGCAACTGCTGGTACCTCTAAACAACAAGGGGAGATCCACCTCTAACCCACAGTGACCGGACGTGCAAAAGTACATGAACAGTCAGTGCTGGGGGAGGTCGGTGAGTAGCACTGCTACGAGGAGCAGAACGGCAATGATGCCTCCGAGTGAAGGCCTGGGTCAATACTGGCTGTCGTGAATCCACTCTGATGGCGCGGGATGGCAGTTAACCAGCCCAAACAGGAGGGGCCAGCAGCTCTCAAACTCCTGGCGGGTCACCGCATGCTGGGAAGGCTAGCCCACAGCGGTGTTTCAGGGTCTTATGAATCAGCCTCTCACTCTCATTACTTTGGCTGCACATCAGAATCACCTGGATGGCTCTTTGCAATGAGTGGTTAGGCACCAGTGGGTCAATCGGCTTTGGTAAGTTTGCGAAGGGAAAACAAACACGTATTTAGAACGAGATCCTCAAATGGTTTTTAACATGTTTCCCTGTTTAATTCATACAAATACAAAATGTGCTATTAGCTGAACATACTTCAATCATAGTAAGGACATGGAGTTCAAGATTCTTAAGTCACACTCTGCATGTCATTTCAACTATGATGATCTTTTCCTTATGTAAATTTTAATAAGAGCAGTACCATGATCTCATAATGGCTATATTCTGAGCCAAGCAAAGAGAAAGACAGACGATATCTGTGGTTCTCAACCTGTGGGTCGCAACCCCTTTGGGGGGGGTCGAACCACCCTTTCACAGGGGTCACCCGATTCATAACAGTAGCAAAATGACAGTGATGAAGTAGCAATGAAACTAATGTTATGGTTGGGGGTCACCACCACATGAGGAACTGTATGAAAGGGGCGTGGCATGAGGAAGGTTGAGAACCACTTGACTATATAGATGAATACTCTTATCACAAGAGGTAATGAGCAAAAGTAGTCTTACTTTGCTAACATTTTATTCTCTGAACAAAAGATAAAAGTTCATTTCTATGCATGACATATGAATTGAATGTCAGTGAAACTGTTGAAAACAGATCAACGAATTTTAGGAAAAGGTCGTTTCTAAAGTTTTGTAGAATTTAAGATCAAGATACATGACCATCACTTGCTAATTGTAGGGAGCCTGGATAGAAATCAGTCTTTTAAATAGATACAACTAAGGTTTTGGTTAAAGTTCCCATGTGGTAACTTCTGCACAAGTTCCCGGGGGACTTCAGTGATCACCACAGTGCCAACACTTTCTCTCATTGGGTTCTGCCTCGATCTCAAGTCCTCGGCGGTGCTCTGGCTTCTGCACCCCCTCGCGGTCTCACCTGCTGCTGAGCAGTTCTGGGTTTGCTGGTCTGACCAGTTTAGGGGTATAGCTACTCTTCGTTATCACCTACTTTATCTTCCAAACTGAGAAAATACTTACTTTCGCAAATCGAATGGCAAACAGCTTCTTGTATTTCAGATCCATAAGTAGACTGCTCATGAACAACTGATGATACACACTCCGCGCACCTGTTAAGGAAGAGATGTGGCTCTCTTATGATTTCAGGGTAAGCCGGTAAGGGATGAGATGATGTGCCAGGTAGGAGATGAGAAGCAATAGGTTTATATATTGTGGAACGGAGGGCCGGTGATCTGCTCCGTGCACCCTCATCCAATTCACAGTGAAAGCGAAAAAACAAAAACTAAGATGTAGAGATGAGGAAATACCAAACAAACCAAAAACAACACTTTCCAAGTTTTTAGTGGATTCTACATTTTCAAGCCTCAAATGGAACACTTCATGTCTGTCTTTCCCTATCGTTTTGGAAGAACAAGGCTTATTTTCATTCACATATCAAGGTCAGAGTATTCTCAGTGGCAGGTCACTGTGCTACGTGACTTAGGGGAACAGGTTCTTTGTAAGCGGCGCCACCATTTCCTAGCACAGTGCTTCTCAAACGACTTGAGGCGACGGCTCCTCGACCGTCACCTTCAAGAAAACTGTAGAAACTACCTAATGTACAGTTAACCACCTTACAGCGTCCCCTTCAGTGCAAACACTGCTCCCGAGTTTCAAAACACAGACACCATACCCATTAAGTACTCACTTCCCATTTCAACTCCCAGCCCCTACAATAAGTGTCTTTCAAACAGTCGGTGTCAGTATAAAAATCATCAAATACACTCTCACTTAGACACACTTCTTGTTTTGAAAGCTTATCTAATTTCAGAGATCCCTCCAAAGTTGTTCCCCACTGAAAGACTGAGATGCACACAGGAATATCTGAAAGCACAAATAGCGCTCCTTCCAAATGGGGAGAGGGAGAGGGGCCTTCCGCATCACAATGACCCAAACAGCCCCTTCTGGACCGAGAGAGCAAGTATGAGATTCTTTACCTTTCCACAACTTGGAATCGTTAAGCATCAATCTGTCTACAAGAGAACAGTTTTCGCCATCGGGTCCTTCTTGCAAACCAACCTGGCATAAAATCCGGCGAAGGCCGTCTGCAAACAGAAAGAAAAGTCGTCCTGAAAAAGCAACTTCAAATATTTAAAGTAAAGTGGCACTGTACTAAGACTGATCAAGTGGATCTGCAGAACTCCATTTATGACGGGTTAAATGTATTCTAGAAAAGTAAATACGTTACTATTAACAGTTACTCCAAAGTGCCAAATATATGCCTATCAGAAAGTCAACACCTCTTATGATTGAAAGAATTTAATGAAAGAGAAACCGCTAAAAAGTACAATACCATCCCTCAAGCACTTTTACGCTGATTAAAACGGGTGAAACTGCTACACATTCCTTGATGACACAAGGTAGATGTAATAGAAATTGTGTTAATTCGTAACCTCAGCATTGCATTATTTACCACTGCAATTTAATTAATAAAGAAGAACATTTTGCACGACATTAATAAACAAAAATTCACTGAGCACCTACTGCTTCCCAGAGGCCCAGGAATACAAGCTCTTGCTGCCTCTAAGTTCTAAACTTAGAAACGGTTCTTTAGATGTTAAGATAAGCATTAAAATAATTGAAAATTTAAAAACTTTTTGGTTTATGTTTTATAATCTAAGGAGTTTTTTAAAAGTCGTCTTCAAGCACACAAAAATAATCAGGAAAAAGGAAAAAAGCAGCAATTTAATTAGTAAGGTCCCCAAGGAGAAATCAGTTAAGAGGACACAGAGGCCATCTTACATAAATATGAAATAAACGCTAATTCTTTAAACTGCTGGTGATAAACAGCACAAAGAAAAATGTCACCAGACATCGCTTCCTTGATATTATTCATTAATACTGATGAGCAGAAGTTGGCATACAGTTGGGCTCAATCTAAAACAAAAAGCTTAACTGAATTGAGAAAAATATTTGGAAGGACGCTTCAAAGTCCATCAAATCTGTTCTTCTGAATGTTCACACTGCCACGATCTACCTTCACACTTGCAAGTTCCCTGTGGGCATGCTCTGCTCTCCAGAAGGCTCTCCATATAGCTGTCAGAGATAAGTGCAGCCGGTTGATCCATATCACCTCTCTTGCCAGAAGAGCAATGGGAGAGAGAGCCGAGATCCATTCCCAATTTACCCCTCAAGGTTATAAACCCAGTTTGAACTTTTGGCCTTAGGCATGAGTTCAAAATTCTCTTGCCATTACACGAAGGGACACTAATTAGGAAATTGTGGGAAACAAAACTAAAAGCCACAGAAGATCAGGGCAAAACAATCTTACCAACATTAGAGTTTTATTCTTCAAATTGCTAACCAGGACCCACTTAGATTCTATTTACATTAGCAGTTTCCAGTTTAGTTAATAAGATACTCCATTAAAAAGCAAACTAGCAAAAAGCTTATTTTTTGGGGGGGTGGGTAGGGGGAAGGGGAGAGGGCAGTGATGGTTTTTAAAACATTAACTGAGCTTTATGTTCATCAGCACATTACAGTCTATAACTGGTCCTAACTCCGAGCTTCTTGCAGTTATCTGACCACAGCGTTTTCTGTGCCTGAAGATACTCCACCTAGACATCTTAAAATGTAAAGTTACGGTAAAAAATTCTTTCACTTGATTATTTTTTCTAAAACTCTTACGAGAGTGCATGAGTTCAATTTCAACTATTAACCACATCACCTCTTATAAACCTACCTGAATAGCCAATAATACTCCCCAGCCAAGACAAAAGTTTCAAACCAAAATTCTGATGTGCAACAATAGATGAATGCATAACTTGAACTTTGAGAGGCTTTGTCTGTCGACTGGTATTTCTCTTAAAAAGAAAGGACAGGATGAAAAGATTACTTAAAATGTCTCCTTTTTTGGCAGAAAAAGTTCATACTTCACGAATCCGCACAATCACCAACACTGGGCAGTTTCTCGTACGTAAGCCTGGGAAGAAACACCATGCAGCTTGCTTTACTTGTTTCGGATGTTAACTTTCTAGAAGACTGTAATGATTTCTTAGGGCTTCTGAAGATAACCTAAATAGCTTACGAGTAATCTACATTTGGTCTTATAGCTGAAAGTTTGCGCCACTAATTTCAAAAACGTAATTTTTTAAATCCCTTAATGCTGCTATAAGTGTATTTAACGGATTCACCTCATGATATGGATGTATGCTACCAATACTTTTGACATGACCTTTCCCTTTCTGCCTGGATCTCCCGTCAATCCCCTGCTTTATTCCATCTCCACAACCCATGCTAATTCAGGATGCACCTTCTCCACATATAGACAGTATATATGTGCATGTGCATAAAGATTTCATTAGTTTGATTGGGAAGAAGGGGATCCTCTACATACTTGGGTGCATCGTGCTTTTCTCAGCATGAACATGCCCCAACCAGCCTGCAGAGCTTTTAATTCTTAGTGTGGATTTGTGTGAACATCCTCTAGAGAAAGTCATTCATAAATGTGTCAGTCTGGGTAGACTAGAGAAACAAATTCATGGACACTCGTGTGTAAGAAAGAAGTTAACATACAAGAGCAATTGAATATTGAGAAAACATCCCAGCCCAGTCCAGATCAAGTCCATAAGTCTGATATTAGCGCATAGGTTCCAATACCAATCTATAACTTCATGCGATGATGCCGAATGCAGGAAGAGCACAGGCCAGTGGGTGAAAAGTCTTGTGGATCCAGTGGCGGTGGAAGCATCTCAGCACTGGCAGGAGTCTCCACGTGGCTCCAGCGCAGGGCGCTAGCGGAATTCCATGTGTCTTGTCGCTGCAATGTCTCCCAGGGAGTGAGCCTGTGTCCCTCCTTAAGCGAGCTACTATATCTACTCGAGTATAAGCCAACCTGAGTATCAGCTGAGGCACCTAATTTTACCACAAAAACTGCATTAAAATGTGCTGAAAAACTCGGCTTATATACAAGTACATACAGTATTTATCTCCTTAGCACCTCCACATAAGGTCATCAAGCTGCGACCTGATTGGCGTGCTAAACTCCACCCCTTCACTCTTACTCCTCTCAAATTGACAACAGATTATGTGACTACCACAATATTTCCAATATTCTGGAACTACGAAAAATCAGTACTGAACATCTTTGTACATACATTTTCTGGTGTTTATCTTTCCATAGGATAAATTCTTGGGAGAGGTAAAGTTTTCAAAGATGTTCCTAGATTGTGCTCCAAAAACATGAAAGCAATTTGTTTTTATACTAGTTTCCTATTCTCTGCCTTTCTGTCCGCAGGGCATGCGCTCCCTCTCACGTTGCCACTCTGCCTGGCACGCATCACCCCGCTGCTTTACTCCCGACGGGGCGGGGGCCTCTTTTCATGCTCACTGGCCACCTGGATCGTCTCGGTTGTAATTTGCCTTTTCAAATTCTTTGTTCATGTTCTATTTTCTTTGTTTCCTGCAGTATCATCTATGGGACACTGTGCGGTAGTTATATAATGAATGCTATGTCAGCTTGAAGAGATATACAAGTGTAGGGGTGGACTCTAGCCTATCATCAGGTCAGCCTGATGGTGCCTCCTTGTGGGTGTGGCCTTCTCATAAGGAGGGTTCTGGGAACCCTCTCCCTCCACCCCACCCCCTCTCTGCTTCACCTTCCTGCTGGCAGGCCACTCTGGGACCTGTAGAGCCCTGTGATGCTTCAGCACCATTGGATCCACAAGACTGTGCACCCGCCAGCCTGTGATCCTCTTGATTCTGCATCATTGCACGTGGCTGCGTGAGGCTGAAGAGGGACTTAAGGGCTAGTACTGGACTTGTGCACTTGAGTTGGACTGGGCTGGAGTGTTTTCTCAATACACAACTACTTCTTGATGTTTGTTTCTCTAGTCAACAGGGCCGTGCAACACACACTATCTTTATTAAAAGCACTGTCTGTTCTCTGTGATAGAAAGTTTTTCTAAACCTCAGTCTACTCACTTTATTAAATATTTTGCTACATCAATTTTTTTATATAGTTAAAATGTGTATACTTTTTCTAATTTCTGAGTTTCTAGTCTTGATGAACAAGTTCTTGCCCTCCCTTAAGATGTATTTTGCAGCCCCCTGGATATTGCAGATTATACCACTATTTCTGGACTGCTTCACAAGTACATGTGTCCAGAAAAATGGGTTCATAAGTGCAAAATTATGGAACTAGCTTTAAACTAATAAAACTACTAATGGAGTCACACTTTGAATTACTTACCACAATGACAGACTTTGCTTGCTCACAGTACTGGAAGTCTCCATATCGAACAGACCTACGACCCTACAAATAAATGTATTTAAAATCAATTTTCAAAAAACAAAAACATAAAAATCAGTAGTCAGAAGTTTTAAAGCAGTAAACAAAACAACTTTGGTCAACGTCTAGCAGTCACAGTGTCCACCCTACTCATTCCTGCAGAGCGACACTTTCCTCAAAGCTGTCCTCTTTCACACGATTCACAGGCACATGTCCTTGAATGCCCGGACATTTCTTCTGCGAGGCTGCTTCAATTTGTTTTCATAACTAAGACTATTTTTAAGCACTGTTGAGGAGAAGGCAACTATATCTCTGCCTCCCTTCAAAATTTCTACCTGGCAAGAACTTAACAGCTATACCTGTTACATTACAGAGGCAAAGAAAAACTAGTGCTACAAAAATTAAGAAACCCTTATTAGACAGAAATATCAAAGTGTAAAGTGAATGTTTCTCAACTCACCCTCCCTCTCGGTCTACACACTTCTGAACGGGATGCTTCCCTCTGCCTCACCTTCCCCTGAAGAAGTCTGCTCGGGTCGACTTCACGCCCAAACAACAGGGTGGGTAGCCTCAAGGAAGTGTGTTTTTATTGAACCTTCTTGGTGTTTGGGGAACAAAAAGAAGTCTGAAGGGGCACGATCAGGGTGAATTATCTAAGATTTCCCAATAACATTCTCCTAGGACACCCTGTGCTGCCCCTGAAGAATGAGCAGGAGCCTGTGATGGGAACAGAATTTCTCGGTATCGCTCTCCTGGCCCTTCCCTGCCAATGCCACGTCACATTTTCCTCACACTTCTTCCTAGTAAGTCTCGGTGACTGTCCTGTGTCTTTTGAGAACATCTATCAAGATGACCCCCCTTTGTGAGACCCCCCAAGCCAGTCTGCATAACCTTCTGAGATGACCCCTCTGCCTTGAATCTCACTGGCCCAGAGGTCATCGCAGAGCCCTGGTGGCCTAGCGGTTAGTGGTTTGGTGTGCTGGGCTGCTAACCGCAAAGCCCGAGGCTTGAAACTACGAGCCACTCCACGCGAGGAAGATGGGGATCCATGCCCTCAAAGTGTGGCAGCCTCAGAAACTGACCAGGGCCGTCCTTCCCCGTCCTACAGTCGCCTTGAGTTGGAGTCGGTTTCTGGTTTTAGAGATCCCTTGGAAGCCAGGGTTGTGATTGAACCCTGCTCTTTGGATTGCACTGGTACTCCAAGACTTGTCCCCAGCTATGATTCATTCCATCCAATTGTCTGTATCAGGCTTAATCTTGCTTAAAAGGCTGACGGAAGACCAGCTCTTTGAGCTGGCTGACATTCACGTGATACTTTTGGCACCCATTTTGCTGAAAGCCTGTGGCACCCTGTGAAAGCCCAGCCTCAGTGCTACCTCATTAATGGTAATTCTGTGACGGTTTTCAGCAGTTTCTTCACTCATGAAGTTTGATGATCTTCCTCTCTTGGACCATTTTTGAGGTCTTCCCCAACCTTTCTTAAAATACTTCAGCCATTTAAAAAGGGTTGTTTTATATGGGGCAGCATTCCCAAAACTTGTTCCAGGGCTTCAATGATTTGGGAAGGTGTGCACTTGAATGCTGTTAAAAAGTATTCAGTCCCTGCCCCGGGGGTGTTAGCCCGGACCTCACAAACATGTTTTCCATGCCTTGTAAAAATGTATCCTGACTCTCTCACTGCCTCCTCTCTCACTGTCTCATTCTCACTCTCTCACTCACTGCCTCACTCTCTCACTGACTCACTCACTCACTGCCTCACTCTCTCACTGTCTCATTCTCACTCTCTCACTCACTGCCTCACTCTCTCACTGCCTCACTCTCTCACTGACTC